ATATTCTGTTACATTAGATTTTATTAGTCGACGTTGTTCCATTAATTTCAAGATGTCGTCTGTTATCCAGTTATTTTTCTTGATTAAGTTTTTTATATAGTGGAGATTTCGTTAGCTTGGTTTTTAAATTCACTCCATAGTTCTTCTGGATCTTCTAATTGTTCTCCAATGTTTTTTATTCTATTGTTAAATTCTTTTTTAATGTTCTGTTTTATGTTTATATTGTCTAAGTTAAGTACATTGGTTTTTGGTTTTTGTCGCTGAATTCGTTTTAACCTTAGTTTAATACACTGCTACGAGTGGTTGATGATCAGATCCAATATCTGCACCAGGATATATAGTGACTTTTTTGACGGCATTTCGGAAACGCTCATTTACAAGTATATAGTCTATTTGATTTCTTGAAGACTCAGGGTTATTGCCATCATCAAATGGGGCTTTCCAAGTGTATAGTCGTCGCTTGGATAGTTTATACCAGGTGTTTGCAATTATCATATCGTTTTCTTTACATAATTCATACAATCTCTATCCTCGATCGTTAGGTTGTCCTAGATCATAAGGATCTACAGTCTAACCTCGTCGACTTTCCCCAATTTTTGCATTGAAATCGCCTATAATATATAAAATTTCGTATTTATTAAGTTTCTGTAAGAAGTCTTGGATCTGATCATACAACTTCTCGACTTCATCGTCATATTTTCTATCTGCAGTCGGGACATAGATTTGAAGTATGTTAGTTTTAAATGGTTGAGTATTTATTTGAAGTAATATTATTCTATCCGAGACTGGTATGAAATTGGTCATATATTTACTCAGTTCTGATGTTACTAAAATTCCTACACCATTCTTGTGATGCGGGTCTTCTGTGCTGTTACCGGAATAATATAAAACACTTCCGCCTTTTTTACATAATCCTGACTCTGGTCATCTCATTTCGCTGATTCCCATAGCATTTATACAACTTAAAATAGTAGCGCCTGCGCCATATTCCGCTTTCTTGTACTCCTCCGTATATTTGTCTAAGTATTCTTCTTTCAAAGCGGTCTAACAGTTCTTCGTCGCTTTTTACCATAGTCCATGTCTCTGATGCGTATGTCAGGTTTAATAAGAGTTTCATATATTAGTATCTTGGTTTTTCTGCTAATTATGTGTGATGTTAAGAACTGCTTTAGTCCAAAGTAAGCTCTGTTCGTCAGGTACATGTTTCTCTTAATTTCTACGCTTACTAGGTTGCTGTTATTTAGTTGTGTTCCAAGACATATAAACTCCGAGACCCCTTCGAATGTGTGTGCTTCTGTCACCAGATCTTGTGGTGCCACTATTTGTGTGCTGTTCGTGACCTTCATGTATTTTGTTTTGGATACGTTGACATGCAGTCCCATTGTCTTCGCGGCTTTTTCTAGTGTTTCACTATCACGTCTCTTTTTGTCTGGTGGTTATGTCCGATTTCTCTATGGCTCTTTCTAGTGCGATGTTAAACAATAGGCACGATAGACTGTCTCCCTGGCGTAATCCAGTATGTGTTTGAAAAGACCCTGTCACTCTGTTTTGTACCTTGACTTTGCACTCAACTTTTGAAAGAGTTGCCTTTACCAGTGTTATTAGATGCTACAGAAAATGTAGTTCTGCCATGGCATTATAAAGTGCGCTTATGTCTACACTGTCATAAGCGCTTTTAAAATCTATGAAGAGGTGGTGGGTATCAATTCCATATTCATATGTCTTTTCTAAGGTTTGTCTGAGAAGGAAAATTTAATCAACTGTTGACCTTTCTTTTCGGAATCCACATTGGTATTTGCCTATTTTTTCCTTAGTATATACTAGTAAACGATCATAAAGTATGTAACCTAGTACTTTGTAGGACGTATTTAAGATGCCTCGATAGTTGTAACATACTAGTGGCTCCCCTTTCTTGTGAATAGGTATTATAATACCTACATTCCAACTGTCTGGGAATTTTCCTTCTTTCCAAATGGATGCAACAAGTTTCATTATGTATTTTTTTAGCGCCTTTGCTCCATACTTAATCAGCTCAGGGGGTATACATTTTTCCAGGGGATTTGTTGTTTTTTTAACCTTTTTATTGCTTTTTCAACTTCTTCTTCTGTTGGAATATTATTTTTTTTCTCTTATCTTTTACGTGTCCACTGTGGTCATTTATGTCAGTCACTTCTCGGTTGCCTATATTTAATTTCTCAGCAACATTCTCCGCCCATCTTCCCCACTATTTGATCCAGCTCATTGATAATTTCGGCTTCCTTACTTTTTATTATGGTTATTCTAGATTTAAATTCTTTTCTGTCGTCGTTTACATTTTTATAAAATTTTCTCGCTTCGCTTGTGAATTGAGCCTTTCTAGTTCCTGTAGCTGGTTTTCTAAATGTCGTTTTTTCTTTTGCTTTAGTATTTTTTTCTCTGCTTGTCTCATCTATTTGTACTCACCTTGATTTTGTCTTGTCCTTCTGTTTTGGAGTTTCTCATACGCCTAATTTTTTTTGAGTTGCCTGTGCGCATTCCGCATCGTACCATTCTGTCCTCTTCCTTTCTTGTTTCTTCTTTCCTAAAACTGTTGTTGCTACTTCTTTCAGGATATTTTCGCACTCATTCCAGTAATTATCTATGTTTTCAACATTACTACTCATTTGATCTTCTAGTTGTTCTTTAAGTTTGTGTTCAAATTTTCTATTTTAGGGTTTCGTAGTCTGTCCACCTCGAATTTAGCTTCTTTGCAACTCTGCAACTTTGCAACTAATATTGCAATTCTATCTTCTGATCTACTTAAAATAAAATCCTGATACGACTCTAATTTACTCTCCTTTAACGTGGATAAGACCATCTTCAAGCGTTGCTTCTTAATAACAGCCAGATCAGTATCGTTGATTCTGTAAAATTTCTTGGTATTTTTATAGACAGCAACTTTAAATGGTCCCTTCATATCAATTTGTTAAGTAAGAAACTAGCCTCAGCCTGCTATGCAATAATATCTGTATCGAAGCAAATCAAGTAAGCATCTTTCAAGATAACATATTTTTCTTTTTTTCGAGTCTCATCTTCGATAGGGCTTTTCTTTTTTGGATTCTAGTACAGTTGTACTGTACTAGTTGTTTCCTGAACTATCTTGCCGTAATTTTTTTATATAACACTTTATTTTTAAAAGTGAAACTGGAACAAACCATGAAGTGGAGATATCCAGGAGTGGCTAGTATACCTGTTGAATACAAAGCACGTAGTGTTCGTGTGTATTAAGGTATAAAAAAAGCGCTTATTAAAAGCTTAAAATTTTTTTATTATAAAGAAGATCTTTTCGGAATTGTATCATTCCATCATCAGTTTAATAAAAAGTTGTTAAAAAAACCTTGTGTGGCCACATAAAAAACATTCGATGGACATCTGGATTTAAAAAATAATCTTCATGTTATTTATTCAGGTAAATGCAATAGACTCTTGACTTGTGTAATATTAAAAAATAAAACTGGGGGCATCTTATATGACCCCCTGTAGTTGGTGAGGTTTTATTGACTTACATTACCTCTGATCTGTGTTGGAGTCTAGGGCTAACTCTAGGTAGTTGATAGGCTACTTTATCTATTTTGAAGACGTTTCGCTTTCGTATTCTGAAAGCATCATCAGTTCATCTAAAAAGTACAATATGAGAACCACACAATCATGGAAAAGATGTTATAAGTGTTACCTTAAAAAGACATGTAACAGTCAATGATATTAACAGATTTGTTAGTAAAACTCAAGTAAATGGACATTATACGGTAATATTGTATAAACAATCAATTAACTAACAACATTTAGCAACTTATTAAAAAATTATCACAGCAACAGAACATGTGGCCTAATATTTTACATGTAATATTTTATTTTAATATTAAGCAGTGAAAAAAAGAACTAAGAATATCATAGATTCATTTCCAACTATTTGATAATTATTTAAGCTTTGATTTTGACTTTAGGTAGCATTATTAAAAAGATTTGAATAAAAATTTAAAAAATGTAGTGTAAATGAAGTTACTGCTCAAAGCCTCACAGCTGCCGTCGGAAAAATGGCGTTAATTGAAACAGACCGAGCCAAAACCGCGCAAAGACAGCCAACCTTGAGGTCAAAAATTTGATAGAACAGCAAGGTTGAAGTACCACCCCAAATAATTGGGCGGTGTATTTAAAAGTTCAAATGAGTTTGGATGACAACCCGCTTGTAAGAGACCAACCAATGAAAGAAATTGGTATTATAACAGAAATTCCTCGCATTAACCAGTCTAGAACGAACAAACAGGCGAAAATTAATCAACCTCATATATAAATAATAAACGTCAAACATTATGGCTGGATAATCCGCCACAGGTGATCAACGAAAAATAATTTCCACAGTCCAAGGTTCATCCACTTGGAACTGTAATTTGTAAAAGATTCTATAAATCAATTACATTATTTGTATTATAATATTTAATCAATAGACAGTTCACACTAATCTAAGTATGAGAAATAGTGTAAGTACATGCAATGTAAGTTGCATATGTTTATATGAGTTAAGTGAAAATATTGAAATATTTTATTTAATTATGGATTTTTTTCTATTTAATATATAGTTAAACTAGTTCGTAAGATTTTATTATGCCATTTGCAATTTAGTTAAATTTTACAATAGACTGTATATTTTAATAATTATTTTTTATCCTGACGATTTCTGTAATTTTAGTAAATTTTAATTGTTATTGTTATTTTTTTGACTTTTTGTAAGCTGTGTCCATAAAATTGTATAAATTTCAGTGACAATAAAACTTCTTAAGAATTATCAATGGCTGGCCAATGCATTTAAAACATCCATATTAATTGAAAAGATCATTCCAGAATTTATTCAAATACATGCATTTAAATACAAGGTTTAATGAATTGTTTGTATACAATAAACAATGCTCATATTGTCCTGTCTCTAAAAAGTTGTAAAACAAAATAAAAATTTTATTACTTTATATAACTTGATATATTTTTAGGTCCTCTGGAATGCTTTGGAAGAAGTAGAACTAAAACATGCAGTTGACGAGTTACCTCAGGCTTTGGACAGTAAAATGGCAGAAGGAGGTTCAAACTTCAGTGTTGGTCAAAGACAATTGGTGTGTTTAGCAAGAGCTATAATAAGAAACAACAAAATTCTCGTTTTAGATGAAGCCACAGCAAACGTAGATCCTCAAACTGATGGTCTAATTCAAAAAACAATTCGACAAAAGTTCGCTGAGTGCACAGTACTGACTATTGCTCATAGATTGCACACTATTATGGATTGTGATAAGGTTTTGGTGATGGATGCTGGTAAAAATGTCGAATTCGACCACCCTCACGATCTCCTTCAAGATACCAAAGGAATCTTTTACTCGTTGGTGATGAAAACTGGAAAAGCCACTGCGAAGAATTTAATAGCAGTAGCAGAGCAAAGTAAAAAAGAAAAGAGCCAGAAGGTTTAATGAATATAATTTAAGCTTTAATAAAACGAATAGTTTATAGTTAGGTCGTTAAAAATTTTATTTATTTTATTAAAATTTTAAATAAAACAATGTTTACTTATTACAACTTTACACTCTAGATTTTGACCCATTCGCTGCTTCTTCTTCTTCTTCAAGTTCCACTCCTATCGGAGATTGGAAATCATTCTGGCAATTATAATTTTATTGGTTACTCGCCTGAATAGTTCAATTGAACACGGAGATTGCGTAGCCACGAGATTTTACGTCTTCCTACGCTTCTTCTACCTTTGATTTTACCCTGCATTATATTCCTTAGTAGTTCGTACTTTTCACATCTCATGATGTGCCCCAAGTATTCCAATTTCCTGATCTTTATGGAATTTAAAACTTCGCATTGTTTTCCTAGTTGTTCGAGAACTTGTTCGTTTGTTTTGCGATCCATCCATGATATTTTCAAAATGCGTCGGTAACACCACATTTCGAATGCTTCCAGGTTTTTAATGTTGGATTTTTTAAGTGTTTAAGCTTCAACTCCATACAAAAGGGAAGAGAAAATATAACATCGAAGCATTCTTATCCTGAGCGATATATTGATATCGCGATTACAAAAAAGTTTTCTCATTCTATTAAAAGTTGACCGCGCAATTTCAATGCGGCATCTTATTTCTTTTGTCTGATCAGTTTCTTCTGTGATCCATGCTCCAAGGTATTTGTACGAAGATATTTGTTCAATTTCTGTATTATCTAGTACTAGCTTAACTTTGATGTTTTGTGCTTTTGTAAATACCATGAACTTGGTTTTCTTCAAATTGATTTTTAGTCCATAATCGTTGCAATATATATTTAGTTGTTCAGCAAGGTGTTGCAGTTCTTCTAGTGTTCCTGCCAAAAGGACGGTGTCGTCAGCATATCTTATGTTATTAAGTGGCTCACCGTTTATTATAAGGCCCTCACTGATCTCGGCAAGCGCTAATTGTGAGATGGCTTCACTGTATAAATTGAATAACAAGGGTGATAAAATACACCCTTGGCGGACCCCAGGGCGAATCTGGATATCCTTGGTCAGTTCGTTTTCAACTTTCACTTTTGCTGTTTGATTCCAATAGAGGTTACAGATGATTCTAATGTCTCTACTGTCTATGTTTTTATTTAATAAAATTTCTATAAGTCGATTATGCTGCACTCTGTCAAATGCCTTCTCAAAATCAATGAAACAGGCATATACTTCCTGATTAATATCTAAGCATCTCTGCGAAAGAACACTTACTGCAAACAGTGCATCTCGTATTTCCAGTCCTTTAATAAATCCCATTTGTGTATTACCGTTGATTGAATAACCCAAATCATTGAGGTTATTCAACCCAAATCATTTGGGTTATTCAATCAACGGTATTACTTATGCCTTCATCTAATTTCTTATATATTCTATTGTAAAATACTTTTAAAAACAATTTCAAGATATGACTCATTAAGGCTATGGTGCGATGTTCATTGCACTCCTTTACATTGGCTTTTTTGGGAAGCAGTATGAATGTTGATTGGAGCCATTCTTTAGGTATTATACCTGTTCTATATATGGTATTGAATAGATCCAGAAGAAGATCAATAGATTCAGTATTAACAATTTTAAGTAATTCGATAGGAACTTCATCAGGCCCGGGAGATTTACCACCTTTAGCTTGTTTCATTTCATATTCAATTTCTTCTCGTATAATGTCAGGCCCAGTATCAACCTTAAATTCGTTTGGTGCTTCTGTTCTCTCTTTGTCTTCAAAAAGTTGTGCTATATATTGTGTCCATCTTTGCATTTTTTGGTTTATATCTGTTATAAGTGCACCACTTTCATCTCTTAGTTGCCTAGTTTGAAGTGTTTTTCTGATTCCTGTTAATTCTCTAATTCTTTTATGCATGTTAAAAAAGTCATATTTTTTCTCAATTTCTTTTAGTTCTTGGCACTGCTCATGTAACATTCTCTCCTTAGCTTCTTTTATTCTCTTTTTAATTAATCGATCAGTTTCATTATATTTAATTGGATTTTTTTGTTTTGAATGATTTTCTTTCATTTATTAATAGTAGTATTTCTTCAGTCATCAAGTCTTTATGTTTTCTATTCTTTAGTTTTAAGTTTTCATTTGCTGTTTCAATTATTGCTACTTTTATATTTTCTCATTTCTGATCAATGTTATAGCTACTTTTATTCAGTTTTTGGGCATTACGTAGATTTTCAGTAAGAGTTTTTACAGTTTGTTCCTTTGTTTGTGGTTCCCTTAATCTCTTAATATCAATTCTACTTTGTGTGGGTTTTTAACCAGTTTTAATTTGGTTCGTAATGTGACTACTATGGGGTTATGGTCTGAACCGATGTCTGCTCCAGGGTAAGTTTTGGCAGACAGTATAGAATTACGAAATCTTTGTCTAATAAGGACAAAGTCCATTTGATTTCGGATTATTCTATTCGTTTTATCACCGGGAGATTTCCATGTATACAATCTTCTTTTTGGTAGCTTAAAAAGTGTATTAGCTATTACAAATTCTTCTGTCTGGCAAAATTGTATCAAACGGTGACCACGTTCATTTCTATTTCCTAGACCATATTCCCCCACATATCCATCCACTCTTCCCTGGCCAACTTTGGCATTGAAGTCGCCCATTACTATTGTAGTGTGATGTTTCTTCATTGATTTTAAGACTTGTTCCAAATCATGGTAAAATAGTTCGATATCGTCGTCATCTTTATCTGCCGTAGGAGCATAAACTTGAATAAAATTTACTATACCTTTTTTAGACTATAGTTGTATTGATAAGATCCTATCAGAATAAGGAGTAAAACTGATTACAGAGTAATTGACCTTTTTTGCAACTAAGATAGCAACACCATAGCTATGATTGACCTCGTTGTTACCTGAATAATACATGGTTCCATTATTATATTTTCCATTTTAAGCAGTACGTTCGATAATTTACCACTTGCATATAAACTTCTGACATTCCAGGTTGCTATTTTCAATGTCTTAAGTCCACAGGGATTTCTGTGGTTTACGACCTGGGAGACCCTGTGATTTACAGTTATTCCTCCCCTGCCGGATTTTGGATTTCGTGCTCCATAATCAGTAAGTTTGTTTACTCTACTTGTCATTTGCCATTCATGACTTTACAAACAAGGAGTACTCTAAGAGTCTTTAATGCAGTGGTTCCCGGTTGCCTTCTGCATCCTCACGCCGTTGACATATTTTTCGATTAATCCGCGTTTAGGACCAGTCTCCCAACCCTTGGACAAAAGAGTGCTCTTCCACTTATTAACTCATCCGCCCGCAGCCGTTGGTCATAAGTGGGGGATTGCTTATACCGGCAATCATTCGGTGAATTACCTGTTGGTCCATTTTATTTCCCTCCTACCCACCGGTAAACCTGGTCTTGCATTCCCCTATCCGCCACCTGAGGACGCGCTCTCTAGAGGTTACAGGTTCCTCCGAGAGCTCCGCACATATACGTTGAGCCAAATATAGTGATCAAATTGATTGCAAGTTGTCTGCAATTTTCATATTTTGCTGGTACATGTTAGGCCCAAAATTATTCGATGGATATCGATTTATAAACGTGTAAGGACAAATCTTCTTGCTATTCAATAATCTCTATTTGAAGTAATGCTTTTGACAGATTAAACAGCTTAGCAGCCACATCTGTCCATTCTGCCTCTGCATCAACTTCAAATGGTGATTTTAGAAATACAGATAGTTTGGAATCTTGAAGCGCAAATTCGATATCCAGCTTATGACGAAAAGCAGACATGCTTTGTATCAGATCACATACTAATTTTCCATTTCCTTGTAACTCTGTGTTAAGCGCATTCAAATATTTTAAAATATCTGTTAGAAAAGCCACAACCAGCATATTGCGCCTGTTTGTTATATACTTAAAATGTACCCTGCTCCCTGTGTATCTTTATTTTGTAAGAAGAAGATCACATGTTATTTTATTAGCCAGAAACATTAAATAATTTGAACGTTACTTAACCATAAAGCATTATTGTATTGCAGTAAGTCAGAATATGCTGAATCACATTCAGAAAGAAACTCCTTGAAATGTCGGTGCTGAAGAGCAGAATGGGATCTCATAAAATTAATTAACCTCACTAAACTGTCCATGACTTCTTTAAAACTAGCACTAAGTTTTCCACAAAGAAAATCATTTTATTATAACTGATGTTAGATTTAGAAATTAATTCAAAATAAATTTGAATATATCTTTTCCTCGAGTGTTACCTTTCAGCGGCAATACTTCTAGCAACTCTTCCGTAAAAATTTGACCCTCAATATCAAGAAATCTTAAAAAAATAGACATTTGTTTATCATCAACCATGTCACATGATTTTTCAAGTGCTATGGTGTAGCAAGGTGCCGTTTGCAAAAGATTAAGAAGAGAGTTTTTAATATCCGCAGCTAAAATTTCTGTTCTTCGTGTATTACTTCGCGGTGACAATGAGATACTTTGAATTGCTGAGGCAACATCTTTTTTCTTCAAAAAGTGAGTTAGCCACTGTCATCATACATTCTTTCACTATCTTAGAATCAGAAAATGATTTTTGGTGTTTATTAAGTATCCAGCACACACACTGCCTCTGTGGATATTTCTTGGTCGTTCATGCAGCAAACTAGGATTTTTGTACTTTTTTCGTAAGATTAAGATATACCCGAAGTTTTTCTTTATGCGCCTGACTGCCAAGAGGAAAGTTTTTGTGGAACTGCTGATGAGTTGTTTCGTAGTGTCGCTTCAAATTTCCACTTTTAACTAAGGTGACAGTTATAAGGCACACCGGAATCGCTTGCGGCCTATCAGGCAATGTAAAACAATATTGTTCAGTTTATTCTGCAATAAACTTCCTATTTTCATTGTCCACTTTTCTCCTTTTCGGATTTATATTAATGTAGGCACAAAAAAAGTTTTATAAAACGGACGAAAACGTGAGTAATCACAAAAAAAATTAACGGTAGTGTACTACGTGCATGTCACTGACTAGCTACTGAGCGACTGTCAGTCAGTGGGCAGCAGCGTCGCCAGGCCCATAAATTTTAATTTCCCAAATTG